CCCACCTCAAGCATATGCACATAAATAAGGAAGTGCTTATGGGACAGCATGATGGGGAAAGCTCTCACACCTTTTCTGGGAAATCAGCATGACTACGGGCCTCCCCGAAGTGCCTGTCCGCTCATGCACGCAGCATGGGCAACAAACAGGAAGAAAGAGATCTGTGTGCAGTTGCAGGGCTACGATCACAGAGATGTGGTGCGATAGCTCACGTGGCTGTAGTGCTGCTGCCATTGACGGGTACAGGCTCTTTATGAAGGACAGGCTGGGACAGCAAGGAAGGGCAGCTTTCTTATGCAAGAGAGCAGCAGGGATGCCTGGAGGATGCATGATGAGCCAGCTGACAGCTCATGGAACAAGATTAGAGGGCAGACAGACCTGAGCGACATTGTGGTGGGTGTCTGCTATAGACCCACTGATCAGGGAGAAGATGAGATCTTCAGGCACCTGGAAAAAGCCTCAAGTTTGCAGGCCCTGGTCCTCATGGGGACTTTAACCAGGAGTTTTCTGGAGCGCACTGATGACAACTTCCTAGCACAGGTGATCAAGCAGCTGATGAAGGTACGTGTTCTGCTAGACCTCATGCTTACAAACAAGGAAGAATTGGGCAGGGATGTGAAGGCTGTGGGCAGCCTTGGCTGCAGTGACCATGAGATGGAGTTCAGGATTCTGCAAGGAGAGACCAAGGGGAAAAAAAACAGACTTTGGCCTGTTCAGGGACCTATTTGGCAATGTTTATAAATATCTAACAGGATGGGGTAAAGCAGACAGGGCCAGACTCTTCTCTGTCGTGCCCAGTGACAGGACAAGATGCAACGGGCACAAGCTGAAACACATGAAATTCCAGGTGAACATAAGAAGAAACTTTTTTACTGTGAGGGTGACTGAATGCTGGAGCAGGTTGCCCAGAGAGGCTGTGGAATCTGAGTCCTTAGAGATACTCAAAATCTGACTGGACACTATCCTGAACAACCTGCTCTAGCTGATCTTGAGCAGGGGGGTTGGGCCAGATGATCTCCAGAGGTCCCTCCCAACCTCAACTATGTGAGTCTATGAAGCACAGGAAAATGAAATAATAGCTCAGTTTGTTTAGTGGACTAAATACACTAGTTCTTTGGAGGGCTATTAAAACTCCTGATTTCAAAGGAACAAAGTAACACTGAGGAATGTGAACACACAATTGGGAAAATGGAAGTAGGAACATGCCCACTTCCCTTCTTAAGCACAAAGTAGCAGCGCTCGCAAACCAGCACACATGGAGCTTTTGCTAGCTACGTCGCATGAAAGGATGGAAGGGGACAAGGGTACTGAATTAGAGCACAGCAGAGCACAAGGAAAAGCAATTCATCTGGACAGGACTGCAAACTTTTACTCGTATTAATGTAGGTTTGTTACACCGCGTGGATACTGAAGGATGAACAAATCATCCATGATCATTGCTCATCCCTATGTGCAGAAAGGGAAATGCTCCCTGACAGGGATGTTCAGACTCTAACAAACGGCTATGCCACTGTGAGAGAGCTTGCCTTGAGGAAAGAGCTCCTCAGGGACAAAGCAACAGGAAAGATATTGTGGAGGACTCCCAGCAGCCAGCCTGCTGACCTGGCCTGCAATTTCACTGCAGAGGGGACAGGTTCAAGTCTGTCCTCAAACACAGCTGGGATTTTATCCCAAAAATCTAGCCACACAAAGAGCTGCAGATTCATATTACAAATACGTATATTCTTGATGGTTCTGCAGAGCTTCTGGGAGGCACTGGGCAAAACCACGTGTAGGAGTATACATCAAGACCACAACACAGACAAACCTGAGTGGTAAAGAAGAAACAAAGGATTGCCTTCAGACACATTTCAACAGGCAGTCTGTAATGTGTTTTTTAGCCAGGGCTGTTACACAATTAAAGTGCAACGTTTGTTCTCGTCTCCTTGCATTTTCCCTTGCAATAGTTAATATGCTCCACAGCTAATCAGGCTGGACATAGGTACCTGGATTGACCCTTAAGTTGCAAAGATAGTAAAAGCAGGTATTGACAAGCAGAGCGCATAACATTTCTGGATGACTCTAAGGCTGCAGTTATACATACATACATACTTACATATATAAATGACAAAAAGGAGCCCAAGGAAAACGAGCAAATGCCTCAAGACCAAATGGAACATGAGCCAGTGAAAGTGACAACTGTACGCAAGGCATTTTTTGGAAGCAGAGTACCTCAGTGATATATCTATGCCATATTTCACCAAACTTTGCCTAGAAGGAACTAAGAACCAACCAGAAAACAGAGGTGTTCAGGATGTAAGGTGTCCCAAATCCCCATAGTTGGTGAGGGTTTAACCTAGCAGGAGAACGCTAACACAGCCGCTTTATCATTTCGCAGTCCCCTCCCTTTTTTCAGTGACCTCTCAACGAGATATTCCCTAATATTTGCCCCTTCACACTCCTGCTCCTGTCAAATGGTAAAATCATTCATCTTCTGAAGAATGACTTCTCTCCCACTAAAATTTCTGGCAGATAGTTTAACTTAGTGGTGGTGCACTGACTTCAGTGGAGCTACAGGAGTTTAAGCCAGGTAAGGATTTGATCCTGCATATAAAAGTTTTTACTTCAGTACTGAAAATAAATAGAGTCTTTCCATGGAAAGTATTCTATGAAAATCCACTCCAGTTCAATTTTTTTTGAAGTAATATTACTTCAAAAAACACACAGTGTCTCTGTAACGGTGCGCTAGACTACAGGCTTGAAAATAAGATTGCTTTCTTATTTAAAACATTCTTCTATTTCTTGGAAGTTCAAAGAAAGTTAGTTGTGGAATGCGGCATGAACAGCTTCATTAGCATCCATTTAAAATTACTGTCTTACCACTTGCCCCCAATCCAACATTTCATAGTTTTGTTTGGGTACACCACCACATTAAGGTGATGCAACTCTACTGTAAAATTAGACATTTCTTAGTTAACTGCAAACAGAGCAGACAAGCAATTCCAGGAGGGCGAGGTAGTGGCAAGCAGGGAAGGACCGAGGCTGGAAACATGAAGTATGGCATCTAATCCATCCTTTGCAATTGGAACAAATGTTCTGTTTATCACAACTTGCTCTTCCTCACAGAACGTCAATGTCTTCCACTGAGCTGATTTTGTCATACAGAAAATGTGCAGAGCTAGTTCTCCCATCAGCCATCCCCAGTCCTGTCAAAGTAGCCTCAAGTTGTGTTTTAAAAATACAACTGCCCCCCCTTCTGGCCAATAAGCACTCCCAAAAGCGTTTTCACAAAACATTTCAAGTTAATTTTCAAATATAATTTATACAAGTTAATCAGGCTTGTTTTAGGATATAAATTCTCAGCAAAATTACATAACTTTCATTAAGTTTCTAAACAGTTCTACATTTGTTTAGAAAAAAATGAAGACTTTTATTTGCCTGATATAATGCTGTATTCTGGACTACATACGTTTGGCCATCAATTATTCAAGATAATGGGAAGGTTATAAGCATTCTGACAAAACAAAACTATGGCTATTACTAGGTATCTCAGGGCCAGGCTTTCTGTAAGCTTCCAGGCCCAAAGGGCTTATTTGGTCAGGAGCGGTGCCAGCTCAGAGCACATAAATGATGTAGCAACATCAGCACAGTGCTCTGGCACAGCAGGTGAAATGCTTTTTGACCCAAAGGGGGCTGTGCACAAACCTCTCAGGTGGGTAATCACCTAGCTGTTTAGCCCTCAATCTAGATAATCAGTCCATCAATACAAATTAGGTAAACAGACATTATGACACCCAATGCCTGAACTTATGACTTGGAAGAAAGATTATCAAAGGTAGGATAAGGGCTGTTATACTGGTAGTGACATGCAAAGCTGTCAGGTATTCATGCTGGTGGGCTGCTATAAATTTGTCTGCTGCTACTAGCTGCAACTTTCAAGTTGTTCCCTCTCTTGGTCAAACTTATATTGAAAGCAGCCATTACAGTTTCTGGTCACCTCCTTCCTTCCTTCCTTCCTCAGAGGGCAGTGAAGAGCATGAGCCCTACTACACCCTTTTAGCACCACTTCTTATGGTTTAGAGGTGTGAATGAACACAGAAGCTGAAATAAAACCAAGGCAGTCCTACGCATCAGTAGCTACTCTGAAGACTGCTGCTGGTGTAAAAAGCAGTCATTAAAACTTTTGTAAGTGACTTTTCAAAATAAGTCTCACGAATGCTAAGAATACCTGTTTTCATGCCTTTTGGATAACAATGTTCAGTAAGAGGATGACAAGCTGTGAATGAGGAATGTGAATGTGACTTCTGTACAAGTCAGGTCTTTTCATTCAGGACCAGCATATGTTTTAGAAAAGCAAACTGTGGTTTTCCTCCTCTCTTTCTGGAGAAGGGAAATTGTATTTCAGTATAGTTCCTGAATGCTAAATAAGAATATTAAGAAGTTATTTTTCAAATAATTTCCCCTAATTGATGCAGTAATAAAGACAGGATAGAAAATACCTCCATAAGCAATGCCACAGTTTAGTGAAGCCTCAATGGAAATTCATGGCAGAAATGAAATTTAAACAACACTGAAAAATATAATCTACATATGGCGTGCACATATTTTATACCAACGGTTTTCTGGCTCTTAAAAGCAATACTGGCAAACAGGAAAACTACCATTAATTAAAACACCAAACAAAAACAAACAAAAAAATCAAACAAAACAAAACACCACAGTTCTGTGCTACAAAATTTGATATCAGTGGACAAACTGTTGATCGTCTGTATCCTCACCTTCAACACATCAATTAGGAGATGCACTAAATTGCTTACGTGGCAAATCTTATGTTTAAATCAAAAGGATGGTTACTCTTGTGAATTCAACACACCTGCAGAGCCAGACCGTGGTCTGATACATGATCCTCAACATTTCTATATAGTTAATTTTAGCTTGTCCTATGAAGTTCTCCTCTTTAACTGCTACAATTCTTCTACGTGAAAAGTTAAGTAACAAAAAGTATGCAAATGTCAAAATACCTGATTAATTATCTGTTGTTGCAATTTTTCTCCAGACCCTGGAAGAGAACGAAAATAATTAGTTTGTACATATTTTAATGAATGCGATCACACACATATACAACAAAAATTAAGTCAACAACAACAAAATCAAACAAGTTCTAATTAATCAGTAGAGTTTAACATGTATAAATGGCTTGGAAAAACCTTCAAAATGGAAATCCACTTAAAGTGGTGACAGAAAAAACAACCATAAAGATGTCATAAAAAGAGAGCCAAGATGGGAGGCCAGTTTTACTAGCCTGGTAATCCACAAGACATTACAACATTCAAAGTGAAGACAACGAGTTTCAAATATGCACTAAGAAGCCCCTTAATTAACTTTGCAAGATGCATTGCCACCGGAATACACAACTGATCGACTGGCAGCACCCAGCTCAGGATTTGAACGTCTGAGAAAAGGGGCCTCTGCAGTTAACTGAGGATACAAGTTTGTGCATATGTGACAACTGAAGTTAGCCACCAGCTGGCTCAAAGAAGAAATCCTACCCTGACAATCTGGCATGAAGCGATGAGTTGAATTATGGTCTTGCTCGCTTATCCTGGCTGCCTTCTGCAGCATTGCTCGGCGATGCTGAAGACATGACCAAAGCTTCAATAGAACGCTGCTTTTTCCTACCACCGCCTGGGTCCCTATCAGCAATGACAGCTCAAACCTATTCTTTCCTTTCAGATCCAAAAGGACAGCGCTCTGGCCTCATTAACTGCTACCATGCAGTAGCTGTCAAAAGAGCAGCTGGTTTCAATTACCTTCCCTTTGCTATTGGAGACCATCCACACATACTGGGGAAAGTCAGGAATTTCACACTTGCCTATCCAGCTAGGTCTACATGTATCCATCAGAGTTTTTTGGGGTAATAATGATAGGACAGTGTTTACAACCTGTCAATATCACTATTAACTGGCAGGGGAGCTTATTTCTGCACAGCACTGGTGGCTGCCTCCTTCAGGACTGTAATGTTGCTCCACTTCAACAGAATTTCTTTGTACTGCTGCGGTGTGGCATAAGTTATAGTTTTAAAAAAAACAAGTGAAAAGAATTTAAGTGTTAAAACATAACAAAAATATCATTAGTTAAATAAAAATCATCTTCCCTACCAGTACCTGAGAATACTCTTCTCAAGGAAAGCATTATAGATAACTTAGCTAAAGATAGTTACTTCAGGCTATCTTATAAGATTGTCTCTTATGATAATCATTTCCTGCATGCTTGTGTTGTGTTTTTGTTTTCTAAATAAAAGTAATACTTTTTTGGCTCAAAGAAAAAAAATATAGATATCATTTAAAGGAGACCTCCCAAAATGTATTCCCTTGCTCACCGGGATCATCTTTGGGAGTAATGGAATTTATTCTTGTAACTAATTTTTTAACAAAATAGATTGCTCGTAATAGAAGATTAAGGGAGTATGTGTTTGTAGCATTCTCTAATGATATACAAGTTGCTAGGAAAGCAGAGTGTTTGAAATCTCTGGTTAGATCAACACTATTTTGCTCAAAGGTTTGTGGACTTTGAATACTGATGCTTTCCTGTTTCCCAGTACATTTGTTTTTAGGCTATTTTGATTCACTTTAAAGGAATTTTAATAACTTTCTGTTGACAGCATGGACAGCTGGTCTTGAGAATTGGTGAAAATTCACTGGCTGACTGAGGAAGGAAGTGACATCAATGAGTTTCTAAAGTCAGCCCAAAGGGAAAAGTGAGCTCTGTGAGAGTAGCCTTTCATGCCATTGTATTTACAGTGATGCCTCAAGATGCAAATTGCAACATCAATCAGACCTGTGGTTTTTACCTCAGACAAATATAGAAATGAACTGAAAGACTGGGAAAGACCTTTCTGACCATTGCTGACACTGTTAAGGAAAATGTGAAGAATTTATGGTATCATTCTTAGTTCTTTCTTTTGGTGATTCAAATACAACAGTACCAATGAAAAGGCAGTTGCTTAAGCATATGATATACCAGTAATGACGACATGGGTTAAACAGGACAGAGATTTACCAGGCAGTTAAAGATAGAAAGGAGATCAAATTCAAGGTCACCAGCAAATCGACTACTTATTCTCCATTTATTCACTACATGATCCTTGTCCTCATCACAGAACAACTCAATGAATTTGGCATAGTCAGCAGTACACCCAGAAGGGGCCAAGGTCCATAATAACAGAGATGTAGCAAATTAAGGTGGAAATATATTGGCATGATTATATCAGGAAGCCTGAAAAATACCAGTGTGTACCGTACTTTTTTTTTTTTTTAAAGGAGAAATACCACTAAAAAAAGTGAAAAAAATATGAAAACACAAACAATACTTTCTTTTTCCTTAGCCTCAATGAAAGTCTCTTATTTCCCTCTTCTTCTTTCCTAATAGACAAGCAAGTTTGAAAGCAGCAAATATCAAATAAAAATGTCCCTCCAGAATTCAACTTAAAGCAAAAAAGGATTTTAAAAGGCCCAAGAATGTTATATCTTAATATAGATCTCCAGAGAGTAATTCTGTGATACTTCCCTAGTTGCTGTCAGCCAAAAATTGAAACCCCTTTCAGTGCTGTGCGTTTGCTATGGAGCGCTATATCCTTTAAGGATCTATATTAAGATATAACATTCTTGGGCCTTTTAAAATCCTTTTTTGCTTTAAGTTGAATTCTGGAGGGACACAGAATTACCGAATGGCCAAGGTTGGGAGGGACCTCTGGAGATCATCTAGTCCAACCTCCCTGCTCAAGCAGGGTCATCTACAGCGCATTGCCCAGGATCACGTCCAGGAAGTTTTTGAATATTTCCAGCAAAGGAGACTCCACTACCTCTCTGGGCAACCTGGTCCAGTGCTCAGTCACCCTCACAGGAAAGAAGTTTTTCCTCATGTTCAGATGGAACTTCCTGTGGTTCAGTTTCTGCCATTGCTGCTTGTCCTGTTGCTGGGCACCACTGAAAATAGTCTGGCCCCATCCTCTCGACACCCTCCCTTCAGATACTTGTACACATTGATAAGATCCCCTCTCAGTTTTCTCTTCTTCAGGCTGGAGAGTCCCAGCTCTCTCAGCCTTTCTTCACAGAAGAGATGATCCAGTCCCTTAATCATCTTCGTAGAAGGCTTAGGTATTGAAATTAACCACAACCTTGTTTCTCCTGCCTTTTTAATTCCCGGATTACTTGTACAGTAACTAGTCACTAATCTGCAGTTTACATACGGCACTCGTTTCTGAGAAGGATGTTTCTGTTTAGGTGCCTTGTCATTTCCAAGTCAACCTGTTATCATTCGATAGAAGCATTTCAGAAGTTCCACTAGAAAGACAGCTCCAAATTCAAAGAACGTGAGGAAATTTGACACACAATAGCAAAATTTTCAGAACATGCAAGCCAGTCCCACAGGCAACACCTGGGTTAGTCTCAAAAAATACATATCATTCTTGAGATATACCAGAAGCTTCATTATTCATAGACCTACACACGCTAAGTTCAACATTTACACCAGTTTTTCCAGAGCTGCTGTGGTGGCAGCTCATGCAAGATGAATGAACACATGAACATCACACTAATTGGCAAGTTTACTGCCATCTGGAAATTCGAATGGAAGTTGCACAGCAGGTAGTTCATGTAGTCCAAAAGGCATGTCTTCCACAAATCAGATTACAGTGAATGGGCTGCTGTCCTCCTACATTTTTCCTGCTATATTAAAACCTATTTTTAAAACTTGTTTTTTCTACCTGTCATCTGGCAAACTGTTCCTAAAACAGCTCAATAGTGCCATCTGACCAGACTGGGCAATACAAGCAAATCAGAAGGCCTTAACCATAGACAACCACATACCATTGATACAGTTAGTCAAAAGTCATGTATTTACCAGCACAAATGAAGATTTTTGTTGGCCAAGCATGTTTTCCTGACACTCCAATTGAGGCTAAACTGATACCACTTTGGAATCTTGAAATGGAGAAACAAACCTACCCCAAATTTATTTTTAGTGATTTTATTTTTAAGTAAGTCTAAAGCTATGTCTCTACATCCACAAAAAACGTAAAATAATACCTTTATTTGTTTTTGGATGGTTGAAATAAATGGCCTTCTTGGGATCACCTCAAGCTATATCACTTAAGAAAAAAACATTTACAACAAACATTCTTTTAAAGATTTCTCTATATTTTCATTCACTAATTAGTATACTAATTCCTGTTTCCAGGGCATCAACATCCTGTTTCCAGGGTTTTCAATTTTTTGCTTACTACTTCTTATAATATGGAAGATTACCTTACTAGCAGGAATAATGCATGCTTTATAACGTACCTGACCAATGCAAGACACAAGAGCATGTCATAATTGATGCTATCATGAGGAGCTGAAACACGGACTTTTCAGCCTTATGCGTAAAACCTACACAGAGAACACCACATAGTTAAGCCCACTATGCCCTGCTTACCTCCATACAAAGGAATGTGATATTCATGCAGGTTTACAGATTAATCTCCTGTAATTCCTTTGAATGTTAAACTATTTCCAGCTCAAATATAATTAAGATCACCAGGTACAAAAGATTCCGATTAGAAATACAAGTACAAACAGAACAAATAACAGCTTGATGCTGCTTCTTGTGTTCAAGTAGTTGGATACGTTAGGGAACAATCACGCTGTCAAGATCCTTCAGTATACAGCAAGAGAAAAAAAATGTTTCATTTCAAAAGGCAAAAAAGTACTACTGCATTTAATTAGGGTGTGAAATCCTTTTAAACACACTGGTCTGCCAATTTAAGTGACGTGACTGCTACAAGTCCTAGGAACAAAGGGTTTCTTTTTTTCCCAAAAATCAAATCCCCATTTATACCTTAAACAACTATCATCAACATCAATAAAGGGAAAGCTGTGGAATAAAAGGTTTGGCTCCTTAAATCTTCAGATAATCCTACTAATATTTCTGGCATGGTGAGAAGGTAAGGGAAGAAGAGAAATTCTGGGTCTGACTCCATGCTCCCAGTGTCTGAGGATTTCCAACTAGAATTATGAAAAA